AAAAAAAAAAAAAAAAAAAAAAAGACTTTCATGAGCAACCATCAAGATGCTAGTTACATTTTTCAATTCGAGAAGTTGAAGCGGTTTAACAGTTAGATGTGTCGATCTGTCATATCATTTAAACAAATTAACACTAACACTTCCCTTCAAATTGGAGCATGCGGGCCCAACTTGACGGGAATGAAATCAAACTCGGGTTTTTTCAAGGCATTGGTGAAAATGTCTGTCAATTGAGAACGGGTGGAAACATGAGTGATATAATGGGACTTGGAACGAGAGCATCACGAAGAAATGGCAGTCAACCTTAATATGCTTTGTGCGTTCATGAAAAACAAGATATGCAGCAAATGTAAAGAGTTTGGTGCAGACTAAGTATTATTATTATTATTATTATTATTATTATTATTATTATTATTATTATTATTATTATTATTATTATTATTATTATTATTATTATTAGTAGTAGTATTAGTATTAGTATTAATATTCTTATTATTATAGCAATTAATATTATTTAATAATTAATAGCTTGGAGAATAAGCTAGGGTATAATTTGAGGGCTTTATTTAAAGAGATCTCATGCTTTGTTATTGGGGAGTTGAATATAAAATAGTTTTTGCGTATTATCAAGAGAGAGTATCTCTTTTATCTTCCCACTCGTACGTTTTCCCTACATCAGTTGGTATCAGCAGGCGATGCCGCCGGGACGAGAACATCAGTTGGTATCAGCAGGCGATGCCGCCGGGACGAGAAGATGCCGTCAACGAACAACGTGATGCAACCTTCAACGATCGGTTTCAACAGATTGATTACCGATTTCAAGAATTGGACGTGCATTTCACGAATTTGTTTGCCAATCTTTCGACGGGGATCGAAGATGTGTGTTTGACGTCGAACAACGTGGTTGTTACGGAATGGCAGACGGACCGTGATGGAGGCCGTGACTATCATGGGGGATACAGAGGCGGTCGTGAGGGAAGCAACCATGTCGGGACGCCCCGGCAGCGATCCCAACAACCTCTGAACGGCAACGGCGTTGGCGACTCTACCGGGTCGGCTAACTCGTTTACAGATCGACCACCATGGAGGGGAGGCGAAACCCTAGGTCAGCCCCAATTTCGCAGCCAGCGGTGGCCCGAGGAGGGTTTTAATTTCAGAATCCCACCCAATCGTGCAACCCTATATGGCCATTTCCGGCGAACTGCTGCAGGAGGAGGGTCGCGCGGAGCCTTGGACCGTGATTTCTGTCGGGCTACTGAGAGCGAGGACGGCGCGCGGCGGTGGCCACAAGAGGGGCTTTGCGCTGCTGCCGACGGCGGGGACTTCCTTGGCCGAGAGCCATGCTGGGCCACTGAAGGTTTTTCCATGGCCGAACTGGGGTCGAAGATGGTTTGTCGGGCTGCAGCGGGCTGGGGTCGCGATGGACGTCGCGTCGCTGAGGATGCCGGCGACTACGATGGTCGCGCCGCCTGGCCGGAGGAGCAAACCCTATGCGATTTCCGGCAACGAGAACAGCAGAGGCCAGAGGGAGATCTTGCAGCGACACGGGCATTTGACGGCCGGCGCGCCGCTGAGGGGTGGCCTGATGTCCCTAGCCGGGACCGACGTTGGACCGGCGCCGGAGTTGCAGAGGTGCAGCGTGATTGGAGCAATAGAGAGTATCGCGATTTGAGCGATGGAAACAGACTACTCGATGCGCAGAGTCGCAAAAGAGATCGTGATTTTTTTTCACAACTTTGGGCTTAAGGACGGCATGCCCAATTCCATTTATTGGGACCAAGGAATGAATGAAGTTTTTCCTTCTTTTTGGGCCTGTGAAGTAGCTACGAATTTTGGGCTTGTGCAGATGGATTTTGGCCGCGAATTTGGTCAATAGGTGAGCCCGTTTCGCGTTGATATTTTTGACTTCGACGAGGATCACGTTGACGGGCCAATTTATGAAGGTCCGCCCATTTTTTATGAGGAGGCTCCAGCGACGAAGACATATTTTTACAGTAATAAGGGTCCCGCATGGGATGTTGCAACGATTACGTCTTCAAATGGAAAGCCGTCATTCACACCCGATTTTTTGGGAATTTTGGCCAAAGATGGTTTTTCGGAGCTAAAGCCGAAGCCGATGCCCGATAATTGGTGGACCATTTTCCGATTTCCTTTCGCGCAGTCTCCCAACAACGGGATGTTTGGCCATTGTTATGGATTTGACCGCGGCAATCGAGGTGGTGTTTTTGGTGTTCATTCAGTTTTGCGGGCTTTGCGAATGGTGTCGTGTACGTGTGCCTTCGCAGCAGTTAAGTCCTTGACCGAGATTATGTTTATGTTCGAAAATTCGTGTTCGATCGGGGGTAGTAGTAGTAGTAGTAGTAGTAGTAGTAGTAGTAGTAGTAGTATAACAATTAATATTATTTAATAATTAATAGCTTGGAGAATAAGCTAGGGTATAATTTGAGGGCTTTATTTAAAGAGATCTCATACTTTGTTATTGGGAGTTGAATATTAAATAAGAAATTTGTTTTTGCGTATTATCAAGAGAGAGTATCTCTTTTATCTTCCCACTCGTATGTTTTCCCTACATCAGAGTTGCTTGACAGTCGCAATGAATCCGCAAGGACTGCGAATGAGCGAGGCGAAGACAAATTTTCGTTTATTACACACTTCAAGTACAGTAAGGACAAAAAAAAAAAAAAAAAATTATTACCAGCTCTATCTACACACGGGTCCTATTTGATCTAAAAACTCGAAACATTCAATTCATATAAAGGTTGTTCATACTTCATATGAGATTTGTCATTCACCTAGTAAATCGTTTGAATTAAATTGATTTTGTTTCTGCATAGTTATTTATATATTTATTGCATCGCTAAAGTCACGATTTAGCAAAATAAACTGCTTCATGGCGCGTATTGACCCAAATCTTTATAACAACAATTTGTAACAATACTATTCCAATGGGATGTCTCCGCGTACGTAACTAGCAAAATAAGCTAAAATACCTCGAAGAAAATCCCGCAAAAAGAAAATTCAAAAACCTATATTTTTCATTTTTCACCGCATTTACCATGCACGGCTTTAGCTAAGGCCTTAAGGCTTAAGTAAATCTACAAAGCAACTTCCATTGTTTTTGGAATTAGTTACTGGGGAGACCAACATTTGGGGGACAAATTTTGTCAACAAATCACCGAGGCAACTGCTAGGCCGGCTTTCTTACAGAAATGAACTTACAGTATCAGCAGTAATATTAATACAAACACCATTATGGTTATATATAATATTGTAAGAGGAGTGTTGTCTAAATTCTATTCAAATTATAGAGAAGACATGCACGTATGATCAGCTGGCGTAATGCATCAAATTCAACCCTCGCATCGCATGACTCTAAATGCATTTAAGTGCGTTCTCTCTAGTTCAATTCTCACGCGAACTTCTAGAACCAGCAACCGGTACAAGAATTCGCATAACCCACATTCAAATATCAGCAAGAAATCAGGGAGTCGACAGCACACAACAACAATGGTTATTGTTAAAATGAAAAACGGCGCAAAAATTGCGCTTAGCAATTACCTTTGGCCAAAATATTTATAAAAGATAAAAAAAAAAAATGCATGATATGTCATGTTCTAAACCTCAAACAAGAATAGGGTTCGACAGAGAGATTATAGCGATTGGGCATCTCTGTGAGGTTATATCCGTGATTTTCTAAGGGACTAATTTCTGAACTAGCTCATAGTATTTTCTTTCTCATGATGGTGTCCTAAACGGGTAAGAATGTATATATTAAAGTTCGGTCCTGGGGGCACCCAACTGACTAAACATAATTGCCATATCCATACCCTGTACCATTGTGGGCACTGCAGTATCATATGGGCAGGTCTTGGAGAACCCTTTCTTGCCGGATTTAAGCACTTTCTTTATGCACCTTTTGAACTTCTCGTGGCATTTGATGTCGATCATACCTGGAAATATCAATCAAGTTACCAGATGTCAGAATTAAGATATAATGACATTCAAACAAATAAAAAACTGTGCAAGTCAGTTGCAGAATATTGTTACTTGGAAATGTTTACAGTCATGACCTATGCATTGATAGTGTTGTTAATGAACATTCTCTCCTAAAATCAACCAGAAGATACTGAATATGCTTACAAAGAAAAGAACAGTTTTAATTGGATGAAATATTTTACGATTTACAAACTCTACCAGAAACTATAGTAAGAGTTTAAGACCACTAAAAGCGCCCTGTCCTTTTTACTTTGTTCACTTTCTACTCTTTATTTCCCCTTTCCTCATTTTTTAGCATCATCTACAGTCTCAGTAGCTATAGGTTCACAGTTTATCTTCTGTCACTATGCTACCCTGATACTATTTGGTGAAATGGAACTCCTCTGGAACCAAAAAAGGATATATAATTTAATGAATTATATACTGCCAAATTTTAGGGACCTTCTGAACTTCGGCTAGTTTCACAAGGCCATAACTTCGAATGCTTGCTCCAGCAATATGATTTTTCTCTTCTTTGAACAATTACGTCATCCAATAACGTGAACTATGCAATAGAAGATTAACTTAGTATATAACCACCCATTTTTCTTCATGTAAACATCCCAAGAGTATATGTTATATGTTGGCAGAGTAATGATCGTATTTTCTTCTAATCACACCATTCATTCTTGCCCACCTACTCATCCACACCTTAGAGTACTGGGGCCTACGGAATACCATGGGCAGCTCCTGAGCATTTGAAGATAAAGGCAAAGCATTCATATGTTTCTTCCGAGCTTCTTGCTGGCAAGATTTTAGCAATCTGCAAAGAACCGATATGCTTCTGCTAATGAGGATGTCAACCAGAATGTTGGGAGTCATTCGAATCCTATTAAATTAATACAGGTCCTTGTCTCCTTTCAATGACCTCAGAGCAAGATTTCACTTATGATGTGACATTTGCAAAGTTCTCGCACATGATTATACAAATATGATAGGATATTGAACTTTATATACAAAATTCCCATGTGAATATGGGTGGAAAAACATTACACATTCATCCGATTACCACAAGCCCCCCTAAAATAATCATTTTCTAAAAAAATCAAGACCTATGTGTTCAGTGAGTACTTATCTACGTTGATGGGTCAATTGAAGTCTTCGTGAAGGTGGATAATGCGTATGGAATGCTCCAAGAAGTTTCGTATTATTCGTTCTGATTAAATATATGTAGCAAAAACACGTCTTTTATATCTAGGAAAGGAAAGACCGAAGCCTAAAATTTCGCAATATTTATATTTAGAAGTGTAGGCATCTAAGCTCTTGTAATGAGATCTTATTCTTTTTCTTATATAAATTTAAACATCTAGTAGAGAGACTTTTCTCTTTATTTAACGAGGACACGCAAAATGAAATGAGCAAGTAAACTATAAACACATGAAAAAACTATCCGCACTTCACATGTCACTGTTACACCTTTAAAAATGAACTCCAAGTTCTCCCTCCCACAAACATAACATGAAGCATTGACTACTAAAATGCACACAATTTTCTGTCACACATTCACCATTTCTAGCATCTACTTTACAAACTATGAATTCCCATAAGCGAACACACATAAAGCGCCACCCATTTACTAGAAAATTGTGATCAACTCTCAGCACAACTCCTTTCAAGAATTTAAAACGATACGATAGATCAATCCATGATGGAAGTGCTTCAAACATACCATCGGTCACAGACAATATTAACTTTGAGGCCACAATAATTTGAGATGTACCGTTACTACTATCCATCGCAACTAAACCAGGCCAAAACAGGATACTGTTTTTACACAGTTTAAGTATGTTTGATGCCAAGTATACCAGATCCATTTTCCTCAGAGACAGGAGCAATGTTTACAATATCACGGCTACACAACAACATAATCCTACTTGATCAACTACTTACTCTAAGGTTCCTTCAAGTTCCATCATCAACTGACAGTTTAATCACACAATCTATATAAACAATGGTTATACTGTAGAATGTAGAGTAAATACCTTTTTTCTCCACACAATCATCGTGGATCTGGCAACAAGCATCCAAATCATCACATGGTTTCTCACCCGGACATCCGGACCACCCTACTCCGCAGTACTTTCCGTACCTAATCCCGATCGCTAAACCGCACATTCCAGACGAGAAAAGGGGAAGAAAATAAACAGCTTAAGCACAAAGAAGGTCACTATAAAAGAAAATCAAAATTCAACCGACGTTCAGCAATCGTTGAGAAACACTCACTGTTGCAGTTCTCGGCGACGCAGGTTTTGCTGCACCCGACCTGTAATCCGCCGCCAAGCGATTAATGTAGAGAAGAAGAGGAATTTCGCTTTAACAATGAAAAAGTCAATACGATGAGTACCTGATAATTTTTAGAGGATTCGACAATGGCAAAGAGGCAGAGTACGAATGCGGCGACGACTGTGCGGTGAAGAACTCCGGCGGATAGCGGCGGCATTCTCTCCCTGAGATGATGATGGCCTTTTTGTACTTATTTTATCTCCTCCGTATTGTTTCCGGCCGCTGGGCGTTTTTCTGTTGGGCATTGGCTGTTTGGCTTTGTTAGGCTTCAGAAGTCGTAAAATTACCATAATAACCCTATTGAAATTTTGGGTTTCACGTGGCTTCTGCTATCCCATTGGTTACCCGGCTTTCCTCACACCTCTACTTCAAATGATGATAGGACAAAATGGGAACTTTCCATCAGCTTCCACCCTTTATGTTGGATATTTAAGTTTTAACCATAGAAAATACTAGTGCATAGCCTGTACGATGCACGGGATACATATAATAAATCAATCATTTCTATAGGACTTGTACTTTTAGGCGAAAAAAAAACGATAGACTTGGATCATCCATATTTCACATCTATTAATAAGTGATGTTTATTTTAGCCAGACAATTAACATATTAATTAATGTATTATTTCGCAAATACGTTATACTAATATAAATTTGATTTTAGAATATATATTTTTTCATTGATATAAGAAAAAATAAAAATTCTATTTATTCATGTTCAACATATAATACTCAATTATTATTTTATTATAAAATTTATAGCCATATAATTTCATTATTATTATTTATAAAATTTATAGAAGTAGTCTTTTTCGTACTAATTTATGTAATGAAATTCAAAATAAAATTTTGTGTATAAATGTTTACAGAATACACACACATATTTTTTAGAATTCAATTTTCTCATAAAATTTTTTTTAAGAAAATTGATTTAGCAATTGCCAAAAAATAAATCCATTACATAATCAAGAGATTTTTTCTAATTTTCATCCTAAGGCTTTATAGTTTATTTAACATACTATGCAATAGAAAAATATTTTACAATTAGTTCATTTTTGAAACATCACAAAAAAAAAGTGATAAAAACACTATCACAATTGACAATAATATACAAATAAATAACATGTCAAAATTTTAAAGAATAACTAATACTACATCCTATTCAAAATAAATGTCGTTTTGACTTTTTTGATTCATCCATTTTGCTATGTATCTAGACATAAAATATGTCTAGATACATAGCAAAATGGATGAATCAAAAAAGTCAAAACGACATTTATTTTGAATAGGAGGGAGTATAATTTTATTATCTAACCATCAATAAATCATTTAATAATGTGATCATTATTTTTTAAATGATAAATATATTAATTTTTTAAAAAATATTAGTTTTATATAATTAAATAAAGGTTAAAAAATATTACTCGACAAATATTAATTATAATGGATATCAGTAAAATCATTGCATAAATTATTTATTGAAAAAAAATCTTTAAGATCATATGTAAATGTAAATATGCAAGCATTTAATGCATATAATAAAAAAATTTTCAAATAAGGTTTGCATTAAATGTGTGTTGACTTTTCTTGCTACTATTTTTGGTAAATAGGTTGACTTTTAATATAGATATAGATATCTATACTTATATTAAAGGCCATACCATTTACTTAAATTAGTATGTAGAAAAGTCAAAGCAATTAATGCTTATCTATTTTTATCATTTGAATATTATATTTTATATTTATTTATTTCAAATTTAATCATTACTTAATGCTTTTAAATGCAATTGAAACTTTTTTGGTGTTTGATTTTTAAATCCGTGCATTTAGGAATCTTCCAAACTATTTTCATAAAAAAATAGAAATCAGATTTCATTGTTGTTAAAAAAAATCTCAAAAAAAATATAAATCTAATTTCTTAATTAGTTAATTTTTAAATCCGTGCATTTGGGAATCTTCCAAACTATTTTCGTAAAAAAATATAAATTAGATTTCTATGTTGTTAAAAATAAATCTCAAAAAAATATAAATCTAATTTCTTAATTTGTTAGAGATTACGATGCCTAATGGGTCAACATACAAATCCTCAGCAGAAAATAATACACGTGATTGTGAATTATTTTTCAGCGCGTAAATAGATGATGATTATCATTATGCAATATATTTATACAATCTTATCTGATTTGTTACTACAGATAATTATCTCATTTGATTTACTTGTCATTCTCTCTCCATATTATCTCTACATATAATTCAATCACTTAATGTAATTACGAATACGAATTATAAATCTCTCAATCTCCCAATAGCGATTGCTTTCTCCTGCAAAAAAACCAAAAACAGATCAATTTCATCGATAAAAATGAATCAAGGCTTTGGGTTGATCGAACAAGTCAATAGGTCTACTAGACCAATGCTGAAAGTTCGTATTGTACGAATGTTCTTCCAAGATTGGGGAAGTACATACAAATCGTATCTTGAATTGGTGCTACATGACAAAACTATAAGCCAACAATAATTTTTACTAATTTTCGTACATCATTTATTTTATGTTATATTTTTTTTCGAACTATCAAATATTTTTTCGTGCATATATATATATATATATATATATATATATATATATATT